GTTTGGGGTATAGCTCAATTGTAGAACATTCAAGGCCCTGGGTTCAATCCCTAGCACCACAAAAAAAAAAAGTTCACCGTTCACACAGAGATAAATCAATTAATTCAACAGTGGTAATCGGAAGTAGTGGCCCATTCCTATAATCCTAGCACTCCTAATAGTTAAGGCAGGAGGACAAGTTCCAACCCATCAAGGGCAATTTAATGAGACCTTAACTTAAAAATTAAAAAACAACCAGTGCTGTAGCCCTTCTTCATAAAGGCCCTGTGTTCAATCCCCATTACTGCAAAATTTTGACAGTACAGATCTGGGTTTCTCAACTTCGCCACTACTGACATTTGTGGCTGCTGGGCATGGTGGTGCACACCTGTAATCCTAGCACTAAGTAGGTTGAAACAGGAGGATGACTGTGAGTTCCAGGTCTGCCTGGCTACAAAGTGAGCTCAGGGCCAGCTTGAACTACATAGCAAGACCCTGTCTCAAAAAACAAAAAAAAAAAAGACATTTGTAGCTAGATAACGTTGCTTTGGCATGCAAGGTGGGGGTGAGGGCCTCTTACGCATTATATAATATTTAGCATTATCCCTGGCCTGTACCTGGTCGATACCAGTAGTGTTGCCCCCAGGTTTTGACTCTCAAAAAATGTCTCCAGTCATTTCTAAAAGTCCCATGGGGCAAAGGTCACCCATTAATATCCCTGGGGTAAAGACTGGCATGGTGATGCACGCCTATTAATTCCAGCACTGGGGAAGTGGGGACAGGAGGACTGAGAGTAGGAGGCCAGCCTGTACCATAAAGCAAGACTCAGTCTGAAAACACTGGGGTACAACCAGCCTCAGGGCTCATCCTTACTGTCCAGAGAATTCTTAAAAGCAAGTAACTAGGCCGGGGATTTAACTCAGTGGTTCTCTGCCTGCTGTGAAATGCAAGCGCAAGGAACTGAGTTCAATCCCCGGTACCCGGCAGGGGTGGGGGTGGGGGTGGGGGTGAAGCAAGTAACTAAAGTTACAGAAACACTTTCCTGAACACATTGTATGACTCACAGTAGAGTTATGACCTGAGTTTTCCAGTCTCCTTTTTATTTATTCTTTTTTTTTTTTTTTTCCAGGGATCAAACTCGGGCCCTTGTGCTTTCGCGGCAGGCGGCGGAACCACTGAGCTAAATCCCCGGCCCTCCAGTCTCCTTTTTAAACACAACATCCTCTAAAGGGCAAGAGCAGTACACCCAAAAACAGAGGCATTTTCATGCCTTGTCTAGGCTGGCAGTCATGACAGTTCCTGATTTACAAAGCCAAAGAAAACACAAATGCAAGAGCAAGTACACTAAGCCCTCTCCCAACTCTAGAACTTCTAGGTATAGCTGGGGCAACTGGTGTTTATATATACAGTATTCCATTTTGGCTTAAGACAGTAAATGTGCCTGCAGACACACTGTTTCAGTGCAAATACTATGTAACACCAACTAACCACAATCTTGAGGAGTTTTATATTCTAGTTAATTAAAGCTTTTTCTGTTGTAGAAAATCTTTGTGCCTTAACATAACATACTGAACAAAACCACATTTTTGCCAGGTATGGTGGCACACACCTGTAATCTCATCACTCAGGAGGCTGAGGCAGAAGAATCACTGGGATTTCAAGGCCAGCCTGAACTACACAGCAAGACCCTGTCTCAAAAAAAGGAGAGCGACAGAGAGAATATGCAGAGACAGAGCTGAAACTAAAAGTAAGGTCAGAAGCCCAGGGAGGTGGCACATACTTATGGTCCCAGCTACTCAAGATGCTGAGGTAAGGGAGTCACTTAAGTCCAAAAGTTCAAGGTCAGCCTAACACAATGTGATCCCATCTCAAAAAATAATAATCATTAAAAACTAAAAACAAATAAAAGTGATGCCAGGCTGGGAACATGGTTCAGTGGTAGAGCACTTGCCTAACATTCATTAGGTTTGATCCCCAGCACTACAAAAAATAAAAATTTATAAGATAAAATTTTTTTTTAAAAAATGCCATGCCATACCACAGGTGGAGGGGAAAAAAAAAGATTAAAAAAACTTGTTTTAATAGATAAATTCAGTAGTAATCTTTTTTTTCAGTAGATTTTATTTGCCTCTTTTCTACACACAAGACCACCAAAATTAATCTAGCTAACTGAAGGTTTTAATTAGCTATGTTCCAATTAAATAAAGATTTTTTTAACTAGCAGTATTTACTTGGCTTGAATTTATAATTTTAAGGCACACACACACTCCACTCCTTTGCTTATTTGCCTACTATACAATAAAGCCTATCTTCTACCTGTGAAATAGACCTAGCTAGTTCTAACAATCAAAATACAGCCAAATAAAAACCATTTTTTAGGCCAGGGATTTAGCTCAGTGGTTTCGCCGCCTGCTGCACAAGCACAAGGACCCGAGTTCGATCCCCAGTACCAAAAAAAAAAAGCATTTTTTAGAAAATTGTACAGAACTTTTCAATATAGTGATAGCCATACTAACAAATTATTATATTTCCTATAAAAAATCAATTCAAATGTATGTAGTCACCTGCAGGAATATTTAACTCTATACTAGTATGCAAAATAAAACTACTGGCCTGCCTGCCTCGCAAGCGCAAGGACCCGTTACCAAAAAAAAAAAAAAAAAACTATTGGAGGGCTGAGGACGTAGCTCGAGCCTGCCTGGCAAGCACAAGGTCCTGAGTTCAATCCCGATGCCACAAAAAAAAAAATTGAAGCTTCAAAACAGAACTATTGGAGAATTTTTATTTTTTGTGCAACTATTGCCTAGTCCCTGAAAGATCTTTTTTTCTTTTTTTTTTTGGTACTGGGGATTGAACTCAGGACCTTGTGCTTGGGAGGCAGGTTCGGTGCCATGAGCTAAATCCCCAGCCCAATTTCTTTCTTTTTTTTTTTTTTTGGTACCGGAGATAGAACTCGGGTCCTTGTGCTTGGGCAGCAGGTGGCGAAACTACTGAGCTAAATCCCCAGCTTCTTTTTTAAACAAAGGCTTTCCCCTTTTCCTCAGTGTTGTGTCATTCATATATATATTTCTTCATAAAGGCCCTGTGTTCAATCCCCATTA